CGTGCAAGAAGCCCGAGATAATCCCTGTTATTCAGGGAAAACGTTCCCTATGTCACGACCACTGTTCGGGGAGATCCCCCCTGACGCCATAACTAGTGAATGTCAATGAACATTCATGAGTGTTCGATGCATAACTCATGAACTTCAATGAACATTCATGGGTGTTCATCATAAAACTCAAATATTCATCCAGCCAAGGTGAAATTTAGATGTTTTAACCCATAAACGCTGAAGAAACATGTTGTTGAGGGGATATAACTTACTTGGATGAAGAACTCTTGGAGAAAAATCTGGGAAAGTTGGGAAGACAACTTGGCGCACGAGTAAGAGAAGTTGAAGGAGAACTTGAGAAAATGAAAAATGAAGACCCAAGGGCCCCCTTTCATATGTGACTCACACCCCACGAGGTCCATCACGAAAAGTCATCATTTGATTGGACCCATTGGGTTTCCCCTTGAAGGGGTGGCACCCCAAAGCATTAGCCACGTGGCTTAACAGACAACTACGTGTCCCATCTAGTTCGACGAGCATATCCCCGACTTCAACGCGTAATCCCCATACGGCCACGAGGAAGATTGTAAACGTGGGGGGCAGCTCGACGCTACAGCGCGTACACAGGTACATTCATTCACGGGTAATAATGCTCGACACCTCGACAACCCCCTGAAGACGGGAGCGTCGAAACAGATCTTGTAGAGGCTCCCCGTAACTAATACGGTCCTCTCGAGCAAGTGATGGACCCCCGTACGGGCAACAACTCGTTCCTTTCAGAGGACTTTGGCTGTCCTTCTCGATCAAGTCTCCGACCATGAGAGCTGAACTTAAGTCATCACCTTTTCTCTCAAGGGCAATAACTTAGGGGGCTCTTGATCTGGATTGGGCCTACACTTTCCCCTTGGATAGGAAGCCCAAATCAATACCTTTGCATGAGGCCTAAATAGACAACCCAAGTTAGGGACTGTAGGGAAACTCCCCACATATCTGTTGGGGAACGTGACCCACGTCCTCATGTCAGTTATCTTAACTGTCCTCCGGGAATCACGGAACCAACCCCTATTCTCGCGGAGCAGTTGACTAGGGGGAGTCCACTTGCTGGACTTCATACACATGTAAGCCCTGGAAGTTTTCGTTGTTAGGCCTCATCGTGGCCCAATAATGGGAACATTGGCCCAACGCTGGGGGCTATAAATTCCCTCTCTCCTGAGAGGGTCAAGTATTCAACATTTTTTAACTCTCACGCTTTAACTTCTCATTTTTGGCCTTCAGCTTGTGAATTTTGGCATAGGCCGTGTCGAGAGAGGCTTGAGCACTCGAGGACTCATCATTGAGCGAAAGAGCTGTCTCGAGCACTCTTATCACAGCGGCCACATCCTCGGCCAAGTGCTTCCGACGAACCTCCTTGTCTTCAGTCAAGATTGCCTCCCTCTCCTTCTCGTGCACGCTGAGGTAACTCTCCATGCTGAAGAGATCACGATTTAGATAGCAAGGAGGCAATACAAAGACCCACGCATGCGCTTTTTCACCCTCGGGAGTTACGCCCGCAGCGTTATTGACACGCTTCCTCTTAGCCCCGGGCTTGTTGACGGGAATCTGGGCCGGTTCAGCAGAGGAAGCCGAATTTTTTGAGGAGGTAGGGGAACCACTGGCCCGACTGGCAGATTTGGCCTGTTCATGAAGCTAGGTGACTATGTTCTTTGGCCCAGAGGTGGATGCATTCTTGGGCCTCATCTTCAACAGACGCTCAGAAAGGGATGCCATTCGACCTGCAATAAAAAAGAATCGTTAGTCGAGTTGGAAAAAGCAAAAATAGGGCGAGCATGTCCCCGCATAAAGATGCGCAAATTAACTAGGCTACGCCCCTTACCCAAAAGCCTCATGGCTTCCCCGTTTGAGGAGCACTCGAGTAAGGCCTTCGTGTTGATCAACCTATTGACTAAAAGATACTCCCCCCGTCGTCGGACAAGAGGTTGTTGTTCACATCCATGCAATTCGCGGGGGAGAAACTCTTGACATAAGCCGATAGCTTCTCGTACAAAAGTTGGTCTTAGGCTTCCAGGTCCTCGGGTTTCACAGAATAGTATTCAGGCCTTTGTTCATAATGCTTCCACTGCCATTCAAGCGGAAATATGGCCATAAGTTGGGTAACTGGTCGCCCGTCCTCCACCTCTTCCACACGAGTATACAGGGAATCTATGGCCGCGTCCATCAGGGGCTTCACGACGAAGTACCTCTCTTTAAAATTTCGGATGGAATCCAGGTAAGGCCGGAAGAGTTTCCCGAACCGCTTGAACGATACCCACGCCTGCCCCCATCTGACGGATTGTCTTTGGAGGTGAAAGATGCGGAAAAAAAGGGGCAGCGTGACGCCTATCCTCAGATACTGGCAGACGAGCTCAAATGCTCGCATAAACGCCAACATGTTCAGATGGAGTTGAGAAAGCGCCAATTGAAGCCACTGGAATACCCCGACCTGGAAATCATTGAAGGGCAAGCGCATCGCCGCCTCTTTAAAAGCAAATTCATACATGGGGGACCATTTTCCCGGATACGTCAAGCATATTCTTCGGTCGCTATGGGGGATTTGGAGCATCCAATTGGCAGGGACCCCTTCTGCGTGTTCCTCCAGGAAATTTAACGCATCCATCGTGTCTTAGGAAAAGCACGACCATTTATCCTGGGGCTCAGGAGCGACCCAAGCCAAAGGGTCCTCGTCAGTATGGGGCTCGTCTTCGTAATTGGCAGCCGAAATGTCGTCCCCGACTGAGTGCGCCATTATACCTGAAAAGCAGGGGAAGTTAGTGAATTCGACATTATGAAATCCACCCTTCCACCGCAGATCAAGTGAAAGGGAGACGAACTCGACCCAAGCCCTCGACTACACGCTAAAGCAGACTATTACATTGGGAGGACATGTTGTCGGGGGGGGGATCACTCATCGAGCGAGAAGCCCGAGATAATCCCTATATCCGAGGAAACCATCCCCTGTTACAGACATTGTTCGGGGAGGCCGCCCCGACACTATAACTAATGAACATTCATATTTTTCGGCACATTCATGAGTGCTCGACACGGAATCCATGAACTTCAATGAACATTCATGAATATTCATCATAAAACTCATAAATGTTCATCCAATCAAGGCATACTTTTGACATTTAATCCAGAAACGCTTAAGAAACATGGTGTTAAGAGGTTATAACTTACTTGGATGAAGAACTTAAAGAGAATCTGAGAAGTTGAGAGGATTGCTTCGCACAACGAGTAAGGAAATCTGGGAAGTTGAGAGGATCGCTTCACACCACGAGTAAGAAAAGTTGAAAGGAAACTTGAGAAGATGACAAATGAGACCCAGGGCCCCCCTTTTATAGGTGACCCACGCCCCAAGGGGTCCCTCATGAAAGGTCATCATTTCATTGGGCCTTTTTGCTTTTCCCTTGAAGGGGTGGCACCCCAAAGCATTAGCCACGTGGCTCAGTTGTCAACCACGCGTCCCTTCTGGACTGGCGAGCATGCGTCTGACTCCTACGCGTCATCCCCAGACGCGCATGAGGAAGATACCCACGCGAGGAAATGCCCGACATTAAAGTTTATATAGGGGCACATCCATTCGACCACCTCGGGGACGAAGTAATGCTCGACAAACCAACAACTCCCTCAAGACGGACATGTCAAAGGGAATCTCACGGAGACTCCCCATCACTAATACGTCCTCTCGAGCATGCGATTGACCCCTTCAGTCTCGCTTCCCTCTCATCCATGGTATCCCCTGACGTACTCGAGTTGTCCCTCACACGGGCAACAACTCGTTCCTTTCGGGGGACTTTGGCCGTCTACCTCGATCAAGTCTCTGGTATCGAGAGCTGAACTCAAGTCACCGCCCTTTTGCTCAAGGGCAATAACTTGGGGGGCTCCTGATCTGGATTGGGCCTACACTTGCCCTTCGAACGGGAAGCCCAAAGACATCCCAAGTTAGGGACCGTTGGGCAACTCCCCACCTGACCGTTGGAGGACGTGGCCCACGATCCCACGACAACCATCTTAAACTGCTCTCCGGAAATCATGGGTCCAACCCTATTCTCGCGGAGCAGTTGACCAGGGGGGAGTCCACTTGTTGGACACCATACACACGTAAGCCCTGACAGTTTCTGTTATTGGGCCTCAACGTGGCCCAAGAGTGGAACATTGGCCCAACGTTGTGGGCTATAAATACCCTCTCTCCTAAAAGGGTCAGGTATTCAATTCATTTCTCTGAACTCATATTTGCTTGCTCATTCCGCAACTTACTTTGCCATCGAAGTGTCTTGCAGGTACCCCCTCTCATTCAACTTCTACCCGAACCAACTGTGACGATCCATTTCTGATCCGGTAAGATCAATACTCACTCATTTCATTAGACCGACTATACTAAGTTGTTAAATTTTAGCTGATAGGAATAATATTTAACATTGATTTCAGATCCTTATTTTAATTGCTATAAGCTCTTCAACTTGGTCCATACGTCCTTCTTAATTCTACTCAAAAACAACTTTATAGATTGAAGGCACTCTTGTTTAAAAAAAAAGAGAAGGATGATTTTTTCAGCAGCTAGATGAAGTAGGTTTGCACCAATCTGACCACGAGTAAAAAAATTACGTTTTATCATATTAAAATAAAACAACATATTCATCTCAAGCATTAGCATGCCAATAATAAGAACAATACTATGTGTAATTATCATATTGCAATCAATTTTAAAGGGATTTGAAATCTAAATAAAATGTTAAATGACAAAATCATTATCAAGGAACGACAAACCCGAACATAATCACTATTAAGTAAGGTTTTCCGGACATCAAGATATCTGTTGGAGAAATAGAGAGAGGATTTGATTTGCATAATGTCAAAGTTAAGTTCCTAAGTTTTGATGAATTAATAATATTAAGGTAACCTTTGAAGAAGCTCTTTGGGGTGTTCTATTTTGGAAGATGCTTGTAATGTACTCTTCTGCCGGGTGAATCCTAATGAGACACTCGTCAGTTTTCGGATTCGCGCTTTTCCTCTCATTTTCCATCACATCATCTTCATCTTTTCCCCAAACACCATTCTCTTCAAACCCTAACTCTCTTCCTCTTCCATCTTCCTCCATCTCAATCCCCAAAGCCACTCCCTCTGACTTACTATCCCTGCTAACTCCCACACCTCACTCCAAACCCGTCAATCCCATCGTAGCACGCAAACTCCACTCATGCCTCAAATTTCTCGTCCCGTTTTCTCCAACCGTTTCCGATTCTCCTCGTCATCGGAAACTGTTCCCGACCGAACTCGTCCGACCTAATCGGAGACGCGATGATGATATAATCTGGTGGCCGCCGGAATCAGTTCTGGAACTTGCTCGCTTAGCTGTCGATTCCGGTGGTGACCCTGCCGCCGTTCATCGTCTTCTTGATCCAACCGTCATTCCAGTTAGTTACAAACCTAATAACCGTTTACAATTATACTTACACTATTTGTTATGATAGAGTGAGTCACTGTTTTAGTTCTTGAAATTGTAATTGAATTGAACTGTCCTCAAATCTTCTAAATAGCAAGATTAGAAATGGTATCAGAGAGAGGGTTGGACATGTAGAGACAATACCGGTAGATTCTGTGGTAAGTAGAGTAAAAGGATCTCTTACCGTTAGAGGTAGAGGAATACCTTGAAAAATTGTAAAAAAGTTATTACGAAAGATCTTGAGATCAACGATTTGAATAGAAGCATGATTCTTAAGAGAACATTATGGCGGAGACTTCAGTTAGTGGAATAAGGCTTGATTGTTGTTGTTGTACAACTAATTTCTTATTTCGTAAATTTGGGGAACTAAATTGCTGGATACTTACAAATTGCAATGTGGCAGGTACCTAGTGTCGAGGGATCAAGCAAAAACCGATGCCAGCTCACCAGAACTCCATATGGCAGACGTTTTATTTCTGAGGTTTGTTCTCAATTCTCAACAATAGTTTCCAAGGGTGAAAGAGAGGATGCTGATAGTGATGCTGCATTTGTCTTTATATGATTGCAGGAACTGAACATGTATATGCAGTTTTTGTTTGAACTCATTGTTGATCGGGGTCCTTCTGTTGGGTTTCATGTTGCCTTGAGCAGATTTGATCTATTCCATGGTCATCTCTTTCTAACCAGAGACTCTGGAAGACTTGGTATCTTGTATGTTGATAAAATTTAGTTAGTGATGCAGATACTTTTCTGTGTTAATTACATATAGCTCACTTTATTGAAATGTTAATCTTAGTTGAGTTAAAAATGCAATTCATTTATATTTGGCAGATTCCACGCAAGGGAATTCCCGGCATATAATAAACAAGCATTTCCGTACAATATGGGCTATTGTCAGATAGGTACATTGCTATCACCACATCTTCAGATGTTATCTTCTGCTTAGTTTGTTTTTCTTTCTGTTAAGCTTAAAAAATGTAGGTACTAGAAGGCCCTGCTTTGAAAATTCTGTTGTGTAATGTCGTTCTCTCGATCTTGTGACCTTGTAATATTTTGTAGGCTCTTGGTGTGGGAAATGGAAAGTCGACACGACTTTATTTAGTTTATGCTATAGAAAGGTGAGATAGGATGAGATAGAGAGAGAATAGTATAAGAGAGAGTCATGGTGTTTTTCCCACCTTAAAGTTAGACGATACATGCCTCACTTGTGTGTTAGGATTAGTTGGGGAGTGATGGAGGCCTTTTATTTTATAACTAGAAAAAGGAGCAAATTCCTCGATTTCAAATACAACTCACAAATCTTTGAGGGCCAGCAATCTCACTGCCAAAAGGATCCAATTTTCTTTCAAAGTGAATAGCATCACACCCTATCATCCCTTCCTATTATTTATATAATCTACTTCTAACTACGTCAGTCATAAACTAATCCTAACCAATATCATAAGCATGCAAAACTGCAAAGCTCTGCCTTCTAAACTAGTTGTCATATATTCTACCTCTAACTACATAAGTCATAAATAATCTTGATCAAAATCATCAGAATCCAAGAATTAGGGAAACCTTCACTTAAAAGCTGTCGAGGCAGATTCACGTCACTGAAATAATCTACAGAGCATCCTATACTATTCAATACTGGACTTCAATACCTCAGAATATCCAAGTCTCTATCATAAACTCTGTGGCCTAAGGCCCCGATTCTCTTCAAAATACTACCTTTGTTACCTCTAACTATCTCAGTCACAACTAATTCTAACTAACCAACAAAGTCTATATCCCTCAACTAACATATCTATCAAAGAGAGAGGACATAAATTTTTGGTGCCAATGTTAAGAGGTTCTTACAAATGCCATAAACTTAAAATTTTGGCTGTATTTTCTTTAAATTCTCAACATTTTAAAGTGGTGATTGGTCTTTTGAATTCTTCCAGGTTCCAATGTGACATATGATGATTCAATGAACTTGCGAAATATTCTCTGGCTGGCTCCTTTGCCTGACCGTTCCACTAAATCTTGGCTGGCACCAGGTACCCTCAGTAAAGTTATCATAACTGCGTTAAGTCTGTTTGCTTTTCATATGGTGCACAGGCTTACTCTTAAGTTTCGTGTTAAATTTTATGATCAGTAATTTAATCAACCTATCCATCATGCAAAGGTTTTTATTATTGTTGTGATTTGTGCCCTTTTGAAAATTATATTGATACCTTAGATATATGAGCCTCAAGTATGGAGGTAAGCAATGTTATCTGATGCTGATTTTTCCTATTTTCGGTTTTGGATTAGGTGTTGTGGCACTTTTAAAAAAAAAAATAAAACTCTGGAGGAGATAAATTATTAATTAGTTAAAGGAACCACTAATGACCATTTTACAATTGTTTCCGAGAGAAATTGAACTCTAACCCCCGAGGTTACAAATCATACTCTTACCACTGACTCCCCGTGTTAAACTCATTGAGTAGTTGGCTTATGGAGCCTAAATTTTCAATCTTCAGTGTAAAAGAGGAATCTGATTCTTTGTAGATTTATATTCCCTTGTTGCATAGTCTTTAATATACCGTGGTGGTAATTGTGGTTACTTGCAAAGTTCCCTCTTAACTTAAGTCTAACCACTTTACACAAACTAGTTCTATTACCCCTTAAGTGTTGCACGGATAGTTTGACCAAGCTATGATGATTAATGCCATCACAACAGAAAAAGAGCATTAATGTTGGAGAAATCATTGAAGAGAATATCTAGTTCATTCTCTTATTCTTGCCTCACATCTCTGACTCTCCAGACTTTGAGCACTTTCCTCTTCTTTTTCCTATTGGCCCTTTGATTTTTGGTAGCTTGTATTAAACTATTAATTAAGCTTTGCTCCGGGGATCTTTCTCACAATGCTTGAGCACTTCCTTCTTAACCACCTATGAATATGAGGAGGGTGGGGAGAGCTGAAGGGGGTGTCTCTTACTTTGGGAAATCTAAGGCCTGGCTATTGCTTTTGGACAGACAAATCTCTTCTCTGACACAATTTCCCCTCTGCAAATACAGCTTGTAATCAAAGTCTGTTGTCTGGCTTCCTAATCCCTTCCATATTAAAACTTCAATTCCTGTCAGCATGCTTCCTTTAAGATAGGATAGCAATACCTGACTCTGAGCCATCTTAATTCCAAGAGAATAAAGCAAAGGATTCGAGGACTTAGTCTAAACTATAAATGTGTTAGTGCTGTTTTAGATCTTTGATACTCTCTTGAATCTTGATAGATGTCTTTATTTGATGTATAGTTTGTTAGCTAGCTGGTGATATTTCTTTGGACTTCAAAGATCGATTCTCCTAACCTTTATTGATAAAATTATACAGATCTGAACAATATAACACAAACAATCATACTTTTTAATCCTTTTTCCTTTATGTTATGTGTTCTTCACACACCGCGTGAAGGTGTAAATCATAGATGTGTTTAATTGCTCCCAACTCTAGCTTAAAAAGTAAATTGAATGTAGGAGTTCTGGTTGTGCTGGATGCTAGGCCTAATGGAATCATATACAGTGATCTAATACCAGACTATGTAAAAGTTGCAAGAACTATATATGAAGGTTTGGTCTTGTTTTCCAATAATTGAAACATATGGTTTTTTAGCTTCAAATATTTTGTTTCCAAAAGGATGAAATCATTACGCGTGTCATTGGTATTTTCTTGTAGAGGATTTCGGAGAGGTTGCTGTTGATGTGAACATCTTGAATGTGGGTTCTCAGAGTCGAAATTATCAAATATTCATATGCTGATGATATGCTCCATACCGTCATTATCAGCTTATATAGATGAAGATTGGCCAAAAGTTACAAAGATAGTGGGAAGCTAGATCACAGTGAAGCATTATAAAGAGCTACCTAATCAGGGCTATATCCTACTATCACAAGGCTACAAATTTTTTAAGAAGCATTATAATTTCTAACCTACGTAATTATACAAAATGTACAATCAGTTAGAAATACAAGTTTAAAAATATGAAGTGTAAGTCTGGTTTAGTTTTTGGAAGAGAAAAAAATAATTTTAAATTTGTAAAATTGATTTTGAAATGATTTTTAAATGTTTTGTTCTTTTAAAATAAAATTGATTATGTCTCTATAATTGATTCTATTCATAAGTCATAATTTATATTTTTGAATTTAAACATGATTTTTATATTAAAATTTACTATTCAACTCATTTCTACATAAGTTTATCTAAACAAAAATCATTTTATATTTGCTTTTAACTAAAATTAATTTTATAAAATCAATTATTTTCATAAAAAAAATTATGTACCTGCACAGGTTGTTATTCTTGGAAGCAGGTATGATCTACCTGATTTCTTATAGTTCTTGGGTAAGTCTTGTGCATGTAGTCCATAAGAAGGGAGGTATGGTTGTTATTCAAAATGAAAAAACGATTTAATTTCGGATTGAACTGTTATCGGATGGCAGATGTGTATTGATTACAAGAGGTTGAACCAAACAACGAGAAAAGATCATTTTCTATTACCCTTTATGGATCAGATGATAGAAAGACTAGCAGGTCAAACATACTATTATTTTCTAGATGGTTATTCATGATACAACTAGATTTTGTAGATCCTGCAGACCAAGAGAAGACATATTTCACATGCCCTTTCAGAGTGTTCGCTTATTGCAGAATGTCATTCGAATTATGTAACGCTGCTACAACTATTCAAATGTGCATGTTGTATATATTTTCTTATATGATTGGGTCTTTTATAGAGGTATTTATGGATGACTTTTATGTTTTCGGTAATAACTTTGACAATTTCTTTGATAACTTAAATGTCGTTTTGAAAAGATCCACCGAAACAAATCTTGTTTCGAATTGGATAAAATGTCACTTTATGATAACTGAATGTATAATTTTGGATCACAAAATTTTATCGAAAAATATTGAAGTTAATCAAGCAAAGATTAAGGTTATTGAAAAATTACCACGTCCAATAAATATCAAAAGAGTGAGAAGTTTCCTTGTACATACCGTTTTTTACCAAAGATTTATAAAGGAATTCTCTAAAATTGACAAACTTATTTGAAATCTCCAAGAAAAATGACTTTCTTTTTGATGAAAAATGTTTTAAATTGTTTTTATCATTAAAGAGAAGTTAGTAACTATACCCTCGATTATCGTTCCTAATTGGGACTTGTCCATTGAACTAATATGTTACACGAGCAATTACGCGGCAATTCTTTATTATTTCTATTTGTGTCTCTCTTATCTCTGCTCTTTTATGAGAGATTATTGACAAAATATGGCATAAACAGTTGCGTAATCCTACTTTTAAAATAGGTTATGTAGTCAAATTAATTAATAAAATAATTTTCAACTATAAAATATTTTCTTATTTCTTTAAATATACTTGAGTTTAAAAAACATTAAATCAACTAATATTTAAATCGAAAAAGGTTGAAGTGAAAATAATTTTTTTTCTCCCATAATTCTTGTTTAATAACAATTCGCGTGTACATAATTTTTTTTATGAAAATAATTGATTTTATAAAATTAATTTTAGTTAAAAGCGAATATAAAATGATTTTTGTTTAGATAAATTTATGTAAATTTTAATATAAAAATCATGTTTAAATTCAAAAATATAAATTATGACTTATGAATAGAATCAATTATAGAGACATAATCAATTTTATTTTAAAAGAACAAAACATTTAAAAATCATTTCAAAATCAATTTTACAAATTTAAAATTATTTTTTTCTCTTCCAAAAACTAAACCAGACTTACACTTCATATTTTTAAACTTGTATTTCTAACTGATTGTACATTTTGTATAATTACGTAGGTTAGAAATTATAATGCTTCTTAAAAAATATAAGTTTTAGTTCTTTTTATTAAACTAATTTTGTAAGTTAATTATTAACTATTTTAACCTCTTTCTTGAAATTAAAAAACTAAACAGACTTAGGTTATATTTTCTTAAAATAAAAACAAAACAAAAAGATTTCTTTTCCATAAGATTTAGACGTCCACTTTAATTTGTTTGCGCATTCATTTATTTTCGCATTTTGTTTTATTGTAACTGCTTCCCAGTTTGTAATAGTAATTAAGACTTTATTTCTCACATTTTTATAATGTACTTCTCACAAAGCCATGTAATAGCATAGGATTTACAGTCCCGCACTTTACATTTCTGTACTTTCATTTCTGTATTAACGGCTAGTAACTAGGATTGCATGATAAGACTAATAATCAAACGCTAGCAAACTTAACAAAAAGACAAAAATAATTGAACATAACACACTTACACATATACACCTCTAAGGTACCCCACTTTGATTGCCTTCAGAAATAAAACAGTCATGAGGCAGGAACGCTTTAGCAAAGACCCATAAATCAAAAGATCATAGTCCCTCGATGATCTAAAATTGCCTTTCGGTAAATGATCTAGTCCCTAAACAAAATTGCTAAAGCGTCTCCACAAGTTGCCTTCATGACTGTAGCGTCCCTTCGAATGTCCCTCATACATCCAACGATATGAGCTACCTACTCACTAATAGTAGAATAGCGCTGTCTAAAGTATAGGAGGAAAAGAATGACCCTTTTTCGGGTATAAGAGTAGATAGCTGTTAGAAGTTTGCTCAAAAACATTTTGCACTTACACAAATACTACTTTTCAAAAGCAATTTTCAAAATATTTGCTTTTTTAACACTCTCGAGGACTGATATAAGAGTTAAACACAAAGCAAATTTCAGCACTAAGGTATTTTCCAAACATTTTCAAACACACAAAGCACATAGGTATTTCAAAATGAGCAAACCTATAAGAGCCCGTAGATAACTACGAATGGAAAGGGTGCTAACACATTCCCTTTCCATAATCTACCCCCTTACTCAGAAAACTCTCTAAGGGTATTTTTCTGTTCTTTTCACCCTTTTCTTTGTTGGATAAAAGATAAGTCGGTGGTGACTCTTGCTTACCGCAACATTTGTAAACACAAACGCAAAACCAGTATTAAACAGTCGGTTATGCCACCGTATCACAGAACTGGCGACTCTGCTGGGGATTTTGAAGCAGTAATTGGATATTTTCGCTCTGCCGAGCATGTGAGAACAACTGACATCAATAGGTTTCATGCTGAGAATATGGCAGTGACCTTGTAGTAGGATGCCCCTGCATCTGTACCTGTTGGAGAAAGTATCTGCCGGGGAAGACATCTGCGGGGATCTTGTGGATGGCCCTTAAATATTGTCCTGTTTCTTAAAGTCATTAGTAATTGACTTTCTGTTTTTAGGTGTATATTTGTAATCAATAATCATATTCAAATGCATATGTTCAAGAATAATCACTGGACGTTTTCGCACATAAAACAGGAAAATAAAAACAAAACTTTTGCACTTTCAAAGGAATAATTTTGTATTAACTTGAAATAAGCGTTTTTGTACAAGGAGACAAACATCCTAGTAAGAGAATATCGTCGTAAGAATGGAAATTATACAAAAATAATATATAAATAAAGACAACTATGTGAAATAATCCCATTGGGTTCCCATTCTGCTATTGCCTTTATGTCCTTGAGCATCTCATCACTTTCGCTGCTTGTTCAGAGTTGATTGGATTGATTAGTACCACTTTGAGCTTGATACTTGATACTGAAGACTGAATGTAAGGTGATCCAACGGGACATAGTTAAATTCTTTAAATCCTTAACTTTTTCCTGGACCGCCCTTTCGGGTTTTCAGTCCACTGGGATACCCTTTTTTGCCCAAGCTGCATTTTCAGGTTTTCGACTTGCCGGGTCTACAATTTTTTTTATGTATATCCCTAATTTTTTCCTAGGCCAATCGACCTAGCGTGTCTTTGTTTATGTGTAGTATCTTTTAATTATGTCTATGTTTACCGGGTGTAGAAGGTCGTCACCGTCCATAGTGGTTAGGATCATGGCTCCACCAGAAAATATGTTCTTGATTACAAATGGCCCTTCGTATGTGGGAGTCCATTTGCCCCTGGAATCACCTTGCGGCAGTATGATGCGTTTGATTACCAAGTCACCAACCTGATATACCTGACGTCTGACCTTCTTGTTAAAAGCTTTGATCATACGTTTTTGGTACATCTGACCATGGCAGACAGCCGCAAGCCTTTTCTCGTCAATCAGGTTTAACTGGTCAAGTCGAGTCTAGACCCATTCGTCTTCATTTAGCCCTGCATCCTTCATGATTCTCAGGGAAGGGATTTGTACTTCAATGGGCAGGACAACTTCTATACCGTATACCAAAGAGAACAGAGTTGCCCCTGTTGATGTGTGCATTGTGGTGCGGTAACCATGAAGAGCAAATAGTAACATATCATGCCAATATTTATATGTCACCGTCATCTTCTATATAATTCTCTTAATGTTTTTATTAGGTGCTTCTACAACGCCATTCATCTTCGGTCGGTAGGGAGAAGAGTTATGATGCTGAATCTTGAATTGCACGCAAATCTCAGTGATCATAGTATTGTTGAGATTGATACCATTATCTATAATGATTCTTTCTGAGATACCGTACCGACAGGTAATGTTATGTCTGATAAATCGGGCCAAACGTTCTTGTTAACAGAAGCGAATGAAGCTGCCTCGACCCACTTCGTGAAGTAATCAATGGCAACCAGGATGAAGTGGTTCCCATTATAAGCCGTAGGTCTAATTTCTCCAATCATGTCAATGCCCCACATTGCAAATGGCCACAGATCAGTCAAGACGTTCAGAGGAACCAGAGGCACATGTACCTTGTCAGCACATATTTGG